AACACTAAAGCAGATACCAAATCACTGCAATTCCCATTTCTTTGTATTTTCTCTTGCTCAACGAGCATCAGGCAAGCAGCACATTTATGGTTTTGTTTTAGCTTACTAGCACAGAGAGAGCAGTTGCAGCTACCCACCTTCATGTAGCTTCATATAAGAAACCAAGTTCTGGTCTGGGGTCTTGTTCAGTTTCCAACCTCATGTTAATTTTGAAGACCCAACCGTAAATACTTGACTCCTGTCTATGTTTTCCATGTGTCTTATGGACTCAGCCTTTACTCAATATTAGTTTTCTCACTTATCTGGAAATTTTTACCTTATTTTTTGAATGCAGCTTTGCATTTTAAAAAATCACTCCCCTCAATCATTGCTTTGTGCAATGAAATGATTATTCTATTATTTTGAGAAGAAATTTGTATTGTACTAATAAATCATTTGTAAACCAAATGTAGGTGTTTTTTAAAACTTAAGATTTCTTTACGATCCCTCTAATAAACAGAAATAAGCCAAGCTTCCTCTCTCTTAAATTCAAATGACCTATAGTTACCACTGCACTCATAAAGTGCTTGACAGATACCACCCAAAGTCTTATATACCTATACATTATCAAATTCTTTACTTCACCTTAATCATTTTCTATAAATAATCAAGATGTTTTTTACCACTCTGAATTTCCAGTAAAAACCAAAATATGACTTAATAGGTCATTCATTATATACCATATTTATTATCCAACACCATTACCGTCACTTTTTACATTTACCATTGCTCCTCTGTGCTACAATCTGTAATCACACCTTCCTGACAAGCGTTTAGCAGTTGTCTTATATACTTATATCCAATAAATCTCAAAAAATGTAATCTACAGCTATAGACCACAATTAAATTTTTGACTAGCCTTTTCCAATAATGTGAAACTTGTTTTTTAAAAAGAAAATGCCTTAACTTTTGATAGGTACCTTAAAAAATACACAGGCAACAAAGGCAATCTGTTGAGATCTTAATATTTTCATAATTTGGGATGATGGAGAATTCACTGATCCAGGATCTGATCATATTGCCAGTCACAACCTGTGGCCTCAGTACAAATTTTCCTAGAATTTAGTTTATTCATTTACTAAAAAATGTAAAAAAGAAGAGCTTTAATGAAAATATTTGTAGGTACTTTCTAACTAAAATATAAGGAGTCTATGATTTTCATCAATTTTGTTATTTTAAATTAGTGTATTCACTTAGAGCAGGGGTGGGCAAACTTTTTGACTGGAGGGCCACAATGGGTTCTTAAACTGGACCGGAGGGCTGGAACAAAAGCATGGATGGAGTGTTTGTGTGAACTAATATAAATTCAAAGTAAACATCATTACATAAAAGAGTACGGTCTTTTTTTTTTTTTTTTTTTTTTTTTTTTTTTTTTTTAGTTTTATTCATTTCAAACGGGCCGGATCCGGCCCCGGGGCCGAAGTTTGCCCACGGCTGACTTAGAGTATACTTAAAGATGTAATAAACCTTAATGTTGAAATTAAGGTACATCTTACAAAATTGATGTGAAAGAGAGGGGGTAAAGGGTATTCATGCATAATCTATCCCTTCATTCAATATCTGAAGAAGCCCTAGCTGGTTTGACTCAATGGATAGAGGATCAGCCTACGGACTGGAGCAGCAGTCGCCAAATGGTGGCCCGCAGACCACTGGTGGTCCGTGAGGTCCGAAAGGTTGGCGACCACTGGACTGGAGAGTCCCGGGTTGGATTTTGGTCAAGAGCACATGTCCGGGTTGTGGGTTTGATCCCCAGCAGGGGGCGTGCAGGAGGCAGCCAATCAATGATTTTTCTCTCTCATCACTGATGTTTCTATCTCTCTCTCCCTCTCCCTTCCTCTCTAAAATCAATAAAAATATATATTTTTTTAAATATATTTTATTGATTTTTTTTTTTTTTACAGAGAGGACGGGAGAGGGATAGAGAGTTAGAAACATCGATGAGAAACATCGACCAGCTGCCTCCTGCACACCCCCTACTGGGTACATGCCCTTGACCGGAATCGAACCTGGGACCCTTGAGTCCGCAGGCCGATGCTCTATCCACTGAGCCAAACCGGTTAGGGCAATAAAAATATATTTTTAAAAAATATTCTGAAGAAGAGAGCTCTTTAAGTTCTTTACAGAGCATATAACCAATGCATACCTGTCTAGATTAGTATTGCCAGAAGAGTAGTCCTTGGATCCAGATCTGCTACCATAAAAGGATGATGACTGCAAAGGTAAAAGTCCTATAAAACGAAGAAACACAGGAACAATTTTATTCTTAAATCAACCATTGAAGTCCAATTAATAATAAAATTATGCATTGGGCCTATTTATATTTAACTCTTTTCCCCCTTTCTTTTCATCAAAGTTGGATAACTATTAAAAGATCTATACTGTGTAAAAGGTTATAATAGCTAAGAATACTCTCCTGCCCTAAAGCTCCAAAAACTTTTTAACTTATTCATTTTGAACAGTATCAACTGACTCCCTATTAGGAAAAATTAGAAATTTCTCATTTACATCACCCCTACTCTTATGTACTTCCTTCCAACCAATTATTAGTTGTGTTATTTTAGTTCTACTGATTAACTTTGTAACTTTAACACACTTAAAACTTCTACATTTTGTTCCACGAACCTTCTTATCTTCCTTCTCTCTCCTCTTCCACATTAACTTTTGTAATGTGTATCTTAACTTCAACATTGTTAAGGCTTATTACACCTTCAAGTACTTTCTAACTATAGGTTGATTATAAAAGCTTAAAACTAGTAAATGGAGATTATATAATGTATTATTATTTCAGAGATAAGAAGTATATTCAAGATACTTCTTTCTGTAGGAGTCTAAAGTCACAACTCTGAAAGGCTAAAAGGAGATGATTTCTAGAGTCTTAATCGAATTAATTCCCTTAAACTCTCAATTTATCAAAATCATGCCATATTTTATTTTGCTTCAATTTAATTTCAAGTTGACATAATATTCAAATCTACATAGTTCAGAGGATCATAGAGATTGGTTAAGTGTAGGAAATATTAACGAAACTTAATAGACAATTTAACTTTTAGATTTTGTAAAAACAGGGTACAAGGTGAGATTAAACAATTGCTTTAGGCAATAACTTCAAGATCTTATAGAACTTATAGTAAATGGCAACACTGATGAACTTTAATTTCAATCACTTTAACTCCTTGAATTCACTTTAAGGTACCTTGATAATGAGAGTTTAATTCTAGGCAGTTAAATAGGGAAGAAAGTAAAGTCTAGACTCTTTATAAATAGAATAAAAGGTCCCTTATATTTCTATACTTTAAAAGTATTTTAGCAGAGTACTGGATACAAATTGGTGCCCAATAACTAGTACTGAATTATGGAGTATTCCTGAATAACAGAGAGGTATGTCCCAATTTAGGGTTTTATTTCTAGTCTATACAGTATATCCTGTATAATAAAAGGCTAACATGCAAATTGACCAAATGGCAGAACAACCGGTCGCTATGACACACACTGACCACCAGAGGGCAGATGCTCAACACAGGAGCTGCCCCCTGGAGATCAGTGTGCTCCTCCTGTGGGAAGCCGGGCTTACATCTGGCAAGTGCAGCGGTGGTGGCAGGAGTCTCTCCTGCCTCCGCAGCAGCACTAAGGACCCCTTAGATAAGCCGGCAGTTGGACATCCCCCAAGAGGTCCCGGACTGTGAGAGGGCGCAGGCCAGGCTGAGGGACCCCACCCCTGCAGTGCATGAATGTTGTGCACCAGGCCTCTAGTTATATAATAAATGACTATCTTATATAAAGACCAAATACTTACCTGAAGTCCTATTCTCTTCCGACTGTTTCAAATTCAGCTGCTTCTCTCTACTGCTGGTTAAATACTTTCTTGAGGGATCTGTCATAGCTTTGTTGTTCCTATAATCAATAATTTAATTCAATATATATGTGTGTAAAGTATAATTCTTAATTTTAAATAGTTGTCATTAAAAATTTACATTTCAAGTGCTAAATTCATGGATTTGCTTGAAAGTTATGCTACAAAGTGTTAAAGCCTCAAAAGGTCAGAGACTTAAGCAAATGAGAATCATGAAAATAAGGTTTCATTACCAAGTCAAAAACCAACCAATCCATAACCCTACTGATTAAGCAAAAATGAAGGAGCATTTTATTTTTACAAAAGTCAAACCTGAGACAGCAAGATTACACAGGTTTTCTTAGTCAAAAGCAAGGGCAGATTAAATGATTTAGCTACTAAAAGACCAAAAGAATCAAGAAGTAAACTATTCAAGCTTGATACTAAATAGGTTTAAAAAGTAAACATAACGGTTTGTTGAAGGAATGAATGAGTGAGGATGTCTCAAATATTCAAAGACCTGTGTATAGAAGAGGAATTGGATTGATTTATAATCTTATCTTAGTGTGATTCTATTTCAGAGAGTAAGGCACAGTTTTTTGGCAGTATGTTTATCACTGAATAACCCCAAGCACATAGTTGGTATTCAACAGATATCAGTTAATATAATTGCTCACTGATGCTTTATTTATTTTTTTTTTTTACTTTTGACATGTTTAATATAAGAATATTCACATTCTTAAAATAAAATGAGAAAATGTTGTCATATAGCTAATATATTGTAGACATTTTTAGACCATATGGGAATATTAACCTTGTCCTCAAATTGCTTATAGTTTACTTATGGAGGGAAAAAAAAAAATCCAGCCTTGGCCAGGTGGCTCAGTTGGTTGGAGCATCATCCCATACACCAAAAAAGTTGTGGGTTCAATTAACCATCAGGGCACATATTTAGGTTCTAAGTTCAATCCCCAATTGGAGAGCATACAGGAGGCAACCAATGTTTCTCTCTCACATAGATGTTTCTCTCTCTTTCCCATTTTCTCTAAAAAAATAAAAATCAATAAACATATCCTTGGGTGAGGATTTAAAAAAAAACCTCACAAGAAATAGAAAACCTTATTAGCAGGAGGAACATGTACAACAATGTAAGCAATATCACATGGTGGCAATATTGTTTGGCCAAAATATATACATATATTTATGAATATGAAAAATGGATTTTTAAAACAAATGTTTGCCAAATAAATTTGTGAAAAAAGTAAAGCAAAGAAATAAAACCCAAAATGTTCTTATAGTCTATAGATTTGAAATACTATTTACTGTGTCAATATCACTTACGAGTTACATTTATAGTAATTAAATTATTTTTTTATCTTTAAATTCTTTATTAGTTAAGGTATTACAAATGTGTCCTCATCCCCCCCATTAACCCCCATCCTAAATTATTTTAATTTCATGAACACAAAGGTAAAGTTTCTTAAGCCCCATTTCCTCCACTATCATTCCTAAACTTATATTCATATAATGCTCATGCTTTAATTAAAAGTGTTTACTTTAGGAGGACCATTATGAATAAAGCCTGTAGCAAACAAATTAGATGCTCCACCCAAATTCCCTCTGACCCCATTTTTGTATCCTCTCTTCCACACCAATTTAGGTATGTTTTCCATAGCAGTACTTAGGGCTATCCCTAATAATATTCTATTACTGTTATTTTGGTTTCTTAAGGGATTTGTTTTCTGTACTTCACTGTCTTGCTCACCCGATTCCCTTCCTGGTAACCCCTGGGAATACTTCCTTAATAAATCACTTGCACACTTAATCTCCATTTCAGGGTTTGCTTTCTGGGAAACTTGATCTGTAACAGCTGGAACTAAGAAGCACACTCTAAGGACAGGATTCTGGAATTGACTGGATAACTTGTTTGGCAATGGGAAGAGAAATCCCATTGCTGATAATACCTCTGTGATCCACAGTGTATCTGTACTGAATTGGAATGGGATAAAGTGAAAGAAATATGGCTCATGCAGTATCTCTAGCATTCACGGTAGAGTGCACAATGAATCTTGGTGGAGTTATAGAAATGTTCAAAAACTGAATTTGGTAATGATTGCACAACTCAATAAATTTACCAAAAAATTATTGAATTGCAGATTTAAAACAGGTGAATTTTATGGACTATAAAATGTACCTCCATAAAGTTGTTTAAAAATGTCCCAAATTGCCCTAACTGGTTTGGTTCAATTCTCGGTCAAGGGCATGTACCTCCTTTGCAAGTTCAATCCCCGACCCCCGGAGTGGCGCTTGTATGGGAGGCAGTCAGTCTATGTGTCTCTCTCACATTAATATTTTCTCTCTCCTTCCCTTTCACTCTCTAAAAATTAATGGAAAAAATATCCTCATAAAAGGATTTAAAAAAAAATGTCCCAAATTATTCCCCTCCTAATATTCAACACCCCCACCCCAAGAAATGCAATTGCTTCTAACTCTCAAACTGAGGCAATGATAAGAGGTAAATGGAAAAGTAGTTTGTGAAAACTTGGATATTAGCATTAGGGGAAACTGGGTGAGGGATACACAGGAACATTCCATTTCATCTCTGTAACTTTTCTGTAAATCTAAAATTATTCCAAAATTTAAAAGTTTTATTAAAATGATTAAACAAACAAAACCAAAATATTGGTCCAAATTCTTTCTGGACCCTATAAAAGCCTGCTTGTTGTACCTTTAAAGAAACTTCTAGATTTCTATAGACACTTCTTCCAAAACAGCACCAGCATGAAACAGGCTACAAAGAACAGTTTTCAAAACCTTCAGCTATAGCCTTGAAAGATAACAAAGGAAACCCACCAAAGGACAAAGCCAGGAGTCATATGGAATACAATGAACAAGGATTTCTCTCAGAGGAAAGAACAGAGATTGCTACATGGGCTAATCAAGAATTTACTCCCCTGCCCTGGCTGGTTTTGCTCAGTGGATAGAGCGTGTCCTGCAGACTGAAGGGTCCCCAGTTTGATTCCAGGTTGCAGGCTCAATCCCCACTAGGGGGGCGTGCAGGAGGCAGCTGATCAATGATTCTCTCTCATCACTGATGTTTTCTCTCTCTCCCTCCCTCTCTCTCAAATCAATAAGAAATAAAAAAAGAACTTACTCTCCTGCCTTCACAATTTCTGTCTGGCAAGATTTTATTGCTGCCACAGACCAGTGACTCTCCCAGTTTCCTATTCTGTCTATTCTAAACGTAAATTTTTATTGTGAATCTTCTGTGCCTACTCCAGCAATGTACAGGCATACCTCATTTTATTGTACTTCGCACAGCACTTTATTACAAATTGAAGGCAAGATCCTCTACCAGCAAAAAGATTATGACCACTAAAAGTTCAGATAATGGTTAGCAATTTTTTTTTAGCAATAATGTATTTAAAATTAAGGTATACGCTTTGTTTTTTTTTGTTTGTTTGTTTTAAAGACATAATGCTATTGCATACTTACCAGGCTGCGGTGGGAAACCAAAAAACTTGTGTAATTTTATTGCAATATTTCCTTCACTGTAGTGATCTGAAACCAAACTCACAATATCTCTGAGATATGCCTGTATAATGATATGTGTATGGAGATGGGCATGGGGAATGCAGATTAACTTGCCTTTTAGTTTTTAGGAACCAGACCATAAGGCACCTGGTCCAAAAGAGCACACCTGGACCTTATGGAGAGGACTGCACATCACTAAGCAATCCTGGACTTGGAGCTGGATACAAGGACTAAATGAGAGTTGGAGGCTGTCTCTATTAGGCTGAGGGAAAGAGTGTTAGTAAACAGGGCTATTTCTGTGGACATAGGGGTAAACTACAACAGCCTGTTAGTAAACAGGGCTATTTCTGTGGATATAGGGGTAAACTACAACAGCCTGCTAGTTGTCCCCAAATAACCATTGTACCCTTCTGCCATTATAAAATTTGGGCTAGGGATATTTACTGGTCTTCCTTATAACTTGATATAACCATATGACTAAGTTCTGGTCAATGTGACATACATAAAAGTTGTGTGTACAATTTCCAGCCTAAAGGAAAGCAGTATGCCCTCCCTTTGCTCCTCTTTCTTTCTTCCCTCTGATAGGAATGCAGACATGAGAGCGAAGACTGAAGCAAAATGGAAGCTTATTAAGGACAGTGAACAAACAAGATAAAAGGAGTCTGAGACCTTGGTGATTGTGGTTTCAGATACCACACTATTACCTACCCAGATTTTTACATTTATTTCAGCAGCAGAACCAAGATCCCAATCTATACTAATAAAAGGGTAATATGCTAATTAGACCAGATAGATCGGACGTCCTTCTGGACATCATTCCAGACAAAGCCATGGTGGCAGGGCTGAGGCAGAGGCGGTTAGGGGCAATCAGGCAGGCAGGCAGGCAGAGCAGTTAGGAGTGATCAGGCCGGCAGGGGAGAGCGGTTAGGGGCGATCAGGCTGGCAGAGGAGAGCGGTTGGGGGTGATCAGGCTGGCAGGGGAGAGTGGTTAGGGGCATCAGGCAGGTAGGCAGAGGCAGTTAGGGGAGATCAGGCAGGCAGGCAGAGGTGGTTAGGGGTGATCAGGCAGGCAGGGGAGAGTGGTTAGGGGCATCAGGCAGGTAGGCAGAGTCAGTTAGGGGAGATCAGGCAGGCAGGCAGAGGTGGTTAGGGGTGATCAGGCAGGCAGGCGAGCAGTTAGGAGCCAGTGGTCCCGGATTGTGAGTTGAACATCCCCCAAGGGGTCCCAGATTGGAGAGGGTGCAGGCTGGGCTGAGGGGACCCCCCCCCCCCCCCCGCCACAGTGCACAGATTTCATGCACTGGGCTTCTAGTTAAAGTTCCTTCACCTTTTTCCCAGTTCTTTTATGGTGATCTCTTAACCTCAAATGCCAGTTAACTATCAATTTTTGTTAAGGTGTTAACTGAGGTATTAACTAAGAACTGTGTAAAATAAGTTTTCTCCCCCTAGAAGACAAAAAAAGACCCTCCCATGAGGAAAAAAAGAATGTGAGCTGGTGACTGTCTTGTTACAGGTGGATACCTTTTTGTTCAACCCAGAAAATAACTCTATTCTTCAACTCTACTCTTCCTCTAAGTCAGTGATGGCGAACCTATGACACGCGTGAACTCATTATTTTGGTTGATTTTTCTTTGTTAAATGGCATTTAAATATATAAAATAAACATCAAAAATATAAATATTTGTTTTACTACGGTTGCAAAGATCAAAAAATTTCTATATGTGACACGGCACCAGAGTTAAGTTAGGGTTTTTCAAAATGCTGACAGGCCGAGCTCAAAAGGTTCGCCATCACTGCTCTAAGTACTGAAGATTTTTAAAAAAAATCTATAATGGAAGAAGTGCAATCAAATGATCAAAGCAATAGCAATGGTCAATCTATCACTAAAATACTTTAAATTCTGCTTTTCTATCTTTGAAATTCCCATAAATTGATAATCTTCGCTCACAGTTGTAATTACCACTATAACAAATACTGATCTAGGGCCTTAAAAGCTCTTAAAGCAACTTACGATGATGAATCATTTTCCTTAGGGTAATCTTCATTCAACTCTGAGCCAGACAGCATTCTTTTCCTCTTTTCAGTTCTATAGAGAACAGAGAAAAGGACCTTATTTTAAAAAGTCAGAATTCATACCATTAAAAAGTATTAAACAACACACTCAAGGACAGATACTGTGACTACTGCTATCTAATTCTCTATACCACATGTAAAATAACATACCATATATCTGCACACTCAATATGTGTCACTGACATAAACCACATAAGACAAATACTAATTATCTACCAAAGATGCACTCTATACTTTCTTCTAACACATTTGACTAACTGGAAAATCTCACTCTTTTTCTCAAACTACAGGTCTTTCTATAAAGCTTAAAAGACATTTATAAACAGGCACAGCTAATGACTAAGAAAGAAAAAATGTCTTTCATACCTATTTTCTAATAAACCTGATCTAAGAGGTGTTGATGTAGATGTCAAAGACGGAATCGTTCGGGTGACAGTTATTCCATTTCCTGCTGCAGTCTTAATCGATCCTCTACCTGGATTACCAAGAACTTTTCGAAATGGAGTATCATCTTTAGTTTCCAAACTTCCTCTTTTTGAAGAGGCCTGTAAGAATAAAGTTTGAAATAGTAAATCGTCAAATTGGCAAACTTTTAGACTAGTGATTCTCAAGTAAGGAAGTATGAAAAAATATACACAACTAGAGATCCATCACCAGAGAGTCTAACCTAATTGGTGTGGGAATGAGGCTCATTCATCAATATATTTTTTTAAGCACCCTAGGTGATTCTAATTATGATCAGTGTCATAAATTGAGCAACATTTTTTTCCCCTGTAGTATTTTTATAAACTTAAAAATTCCAAAACATACCTAGAGGCAGAAGGAAAATACTGTGAATTATTTATTTAAAAAAAGGGGGAGGGAGGGCTCACATATAAAGACATGGTTCTAGTAACCAGGATGAAAATAAATCTTTAGAGAAAAATCCAATTATAATTATGATAAATTAAAGTGATGTGTGTGTGATGTGCCGATGAGTAGTATCCAACTCCTGGCAACCCTAGGAATAAGTGATGTCCACAATGTCCTGTCCTCAACTGCCCTGCTTAGCTTCTGAGGAAACATGCTTGTGGCTTCTTTTATGGTGTCAATCCATCTTAGTTTTTGTCTTCCTCTTTTTTTTGCTGCCTTCTATTTTTCCCAGTATGACTGTCTTAAAATGACATAGATGTGACAAAAAGGAGCAACAATGACATTTGGTTGCCACAACTCAAATGCCAAGTCACATGTACATCATTATGACTTTTGAAGGGGTTCCAGTTTGGAAAAATGAAACAAATATATGTAATGATGGAGAAAATGATAGTGACATAAAGCTCATTGCAGAAGCTAAATCAAATACTCTACTACTCTCAAGACACAGCAAAAAAATTTGGAGAGAAAATAGTAATAAAAAAATACAGGGTGGGGCAAAAGTACACTTACAGTTGTCTGTATAGAAAATAATACAATAATTAATAAATAATAATATAAGAATAAACTGTTTCCTGTACTGACAACTTTTGCCACACCTTGGGAAATAGTGCTTTCTACCAGCATTCTGCCAAATTGAAATTTTATAACTATATTAAGAGCTATGTGAATTACAATCTTAGGATAGGGAAGAAAAAAATCTGAGGTTCTCTGCATGAACAATTTAAAAAATTACACTTATTTTCAAATGGGTGATACATACTCAAGATTCAATAATCAAAATACAGGGGGAGCAAAGGGGTACTGGAAGAGATTAATGGGGGGAAAAGAAGGACCCCTGTAATACTTTCAACAATAAAGATTTTTTTTAAAGTCCAGAATAAAAAAAATAAAAACAAAAAACCCATGCAAAAATCAAAATACTATTATAAAAACCACATGCTGAAAAATTTCATTATCACCCCAATGCCATTCACCCATTCTTCCACTTCTCATTTTCCTACTCCTTATAAGTATTCTTTTATTGTTCCTTTATGCAGAGGCAAATCAATATTTTATTCTTTTTGTTATATACATGGTAGCATACTATATACAAACTGTTTTGCATTATCTTCAACCTTATTTGACCCCATAGGAAGACACTTTACATTGCAACCTATTACACATACATGTAAAGTAGAAATGAAACAAAAGTTTCAGAAACCAATACTTATCTTTACTATGTATAATACCTATTCTATTCTATTCTATTCTATTCTATTCTATTCTTTCCTTTTTTTATTTAATGCTAGTCACAACCCACAAATTAATTTTCTAATCTTGGAAATAGGAATTATTTATGGAGTATAAATATTTGCTTCTGTTATACATGATAATGCTTACACATTTAAATATTTCAACAGCTTACATTTCTACCTATACTAGTAAATGGGTGGATCTCAAAGTTAGTTATGCTGAGTGAAAAAGCCAGACCAAAATAAAAAAAAGAAAAAAATTACACATTGATCCCATTCATATACACTCTAGAATATGCAAATTAATCTATAGTGACAGAAAGCAAATCGTCTGTGGCTTAGGGATAGGAACCAGAGAGGGAGAGGGAAGGAAGGACAACAAAGGGAGAATGGGGAAACTTTTAAGGGTTATGGCTATGTACACTAGGTTGATTGTGGTGATGATTTTACAGATATGTATATGTAAGTCAAAACGTTTCAAACTGTACTTTAATTATGTGCAATTTATTGAATGTCAATTATACCTCAACTAAAATTTAGTAAAAAAAATCCCACCCATCCTATACAACAACAACAAACTAACAAAAATGAAATTTTGTTCACTGTTTATCCCAGTAAATGGACTAAGTAATCACCTCGATGCACAGCCAAATAAAAGTAATCAGTTCCAAAGTTTCTCTTTGTGCCCAGTTTCACTTTGTAAAAAAAAATTAAGAGATATAGGACTGTTTAATTGCAACAGTGCATAGCAAATCTCATGGCTGGCTGAATATTTATGAAAGAAAAACTATTTAAAAAGCAAACAGAAGACTTTAACGAAAGAGTCTGGTATCATATAGTGTGGGGACAAAGTTCATAATGTAGAACAGACACAAATGGCATCATAGAAACAGTAGCAGCAGACTCTGATCAGGTTGTTAGTATATGGTATTCACATGCATTATCTCACAGCAACCCTTAAAATATCATTGCTGTCTCAATTTTACAGATGGGTGCTAAGGCTTAGGATACTTAAAGAATCCCTCCAATGACTCACAGCTAGTAAGTGTCAGCACCAAATCTCAAGTTCACATACAACTCCAAAGCTATGCTTTTAAAAACCATACTGTACTTTACTGCAGTTCATAAGACATGAGACACTGAGCAAAGATTAAATTGTATTCTGTAAAACTGTATGTAAGAAGGGAAGTGATAAATTTTAGAAAGACGTTCATAAAAAATAGTTGGAGACTGAAATAGCTAAAATGGTAAATTTCAAGTATGTGGAAAAGACCCTTATGACAAAGCCAGAATTATTAGGTATTACAGTCTAAATTCTACTTCTTGCAATTACCTTATAGAATGTCTATTGTTTTTTAAAAAAGCTTTTAGATTCAAAAGAACATACCTGATTGTCTGAGTAAGAAAGCTGCCTGTTGGTTTCCTTCTGTGAGGTTCTACTGCCCAGAATAGCTCCAAAACTACCAGACCCCTGAGGTTTCATGGCTAGTGCAAAAGAAAAAAAAAAAAAATCCCAAATCACTTATTTTAATATAGAGATTTGCCATTATTAGTATATAACATTGCAGAAGGAGAAGCAGAAATAAATTAAAGTGCTTATTAACCAATTCTTTCTGAATAGAAAGCACATCTGATATAAATTGTAATTAAAATTTAGAGCTAGCCTCAAGCAAAAAACGAAGTAACATGCAAAAATTTGGAAACATATAATAGGACAAGATTTTATTTTTTAAAGTATCTCATAGGGTTGTTATAAGCCTTATAATATAAAGATTAAATATTTTTTTAAATGTATTTTTATTTATTATAGAGAGGAAGAGAGAGGGAAAGAGAGATAGAAACATCAATGATGAGAGAGAATCATTGATTGGCTGCCTCCTGCATGCCCCCTACTGGGGCTCGAGCTTGCAACCCGGGCATCTGCCCTTGACCGGAATCAAATCTGGGACCCTTCAGTCTGCAGGCCGACGCTCTATCCACTAAGCCAAACCGCTCTATCCACTAAGCCAAACCGGCTAGGGCTAGGACAAAATTTTAAATGCAAAATTAAAATGCTAGAAATTCTCCTATATCGATATTTGGTAATTAACACTATAGAAAAGTTAGTCACCATGTGTCTATGGCATGAACCACTGACATTGGATGAATGCCAAGAAGACATGTCAGAACCAGTGGCAGATATATTTCTAATAATGTATACTTCAAAACATTCTCTGTAAGTTCAGCAAGTGAAATGGCTTGTATTCCAAAGAAATCAACAATAAAGAACACGCAAAGTACTGTATATACTTTAAAAAATATTTTATACTTAATTTAGTCAATTCCCACTGATGATCATTTGGAATGTTTTAATTTTTAAAAATTGAAAACAATGCTGAATATCCTTTCCGATCCCTTGCACTAATGGTACGATTTTTATAGGATAAACTCAAAATAATAACTGCTGGGGTAAAATAAAGGATGCTCTGACTAGGACTTCAAGTACTATGCTGAATAGAAGTGGTGAAAGAGGGGCCATAGCTGGTTTGACTCAGTGGGTAGAAGCGTTGGCCTGCGGACCCAAAGGGTCCCGGGTTCAATTCCAGTCAAGGACATGTACCTCAGTTGCAGGCTCCTCCCCAGCCTAGGCCCTGGTCAGGGTGCATGCAGGAGGCAACCAATCGATGCATTTCTCTCACATCAATATTTCTCTCTTCCACTCTCTCTAAAAACCAATGGAAAAATATCCTTGAGTGAGGATTAAAAAAAAAAAAAAAAGAAGTGGTAAGAGGGCATCCTTGGCTTGCTCCTCATTCTAGAGGAAAATCTTTTAGTCTTCATCATTGTGATATTAGTTGTGGGCTTTCACATATAGCCTTTATTATGCTGAGGTAGTTTCCTTCTACTCCTAGTTTGAGTATTTTTTATCATGAAAGGGTGCTGAATTTTATCAAATATTTTTTCTGCATTGAGATGATCACATTGGTTTTTGTCCTTCATTCTGTTAATTTGGTGTATTACACTGATTGATTTTTTTCATATCTTAAACCATCCTTGCATTACAGAAATAAAACTCACTTGGTCATAGTGTAATCCTCTTAATGTGCTGTTGAATTTCGTCTGCTAATATTTTGTTGAGGATTTTTGCATAAATGTTCACCAGGGATACTGGTCTACAGCCTAGTAATATTCTTTTATAACTACTAATGTCAGACCTTGGGATAATTAGTGCTCACCTGCATTGAGTCTGTTTTGATGGACTGCATCTAGAAACAACCTCATTTCCTCTGCATCCTTACTTGGTACTTTGTCAATAGACAAGAAGCTGTTATCTTGTAGCGTTAACATTAGGCGGCTTTGTTTTGCTCCACTGGGTCGAAGCACCACATTTTTAATGTTATGACTTAGCTGATTAACACAAAAGGGAAATGATCTTATCATTAAAAACATGATAATGAAGTATATACGTTGTATAATGAATACTAAACTTTATACTTTCTAAGTTACATTTCTTACTCTTCCCCACATTAGGTTTTTTTCCCCCAACCAAAAATAGTTCCCACTTCTTGACACATTTAAATCAAAGATTTCACTTTTAGAAGAGGCAAACACATAGTATTAAATTTTATTTTACATTGTAATCCTAGCAGTCTTGTTTTTATGGCAGGAAATTGCATATTTTCAGGTATAGTTACAAGTTATAAAAACTAGTGAGTTAGAAGGGGATCCTAATATAAAGTGACAGGAGAAGATATTTGACTTTGGGAGGTGGGTAAACAGTGCAATAAACAGATCTTGTAACAGAAACCCACACATAAAACCTATATGTTCATGTTGACCAATGTCACCCTAATCAATTTAATAAAACTTTAAAAATAAATTAATTTTTTAAAAAACAACACAACAGCCCTAACCGGTTCGGCTCAGTGGATAGAACGTCGGCCTGCGGACTCAAGGGTCCCAGGTTCGATTCCGGTCAAGGGCATGTACCTTGGTTGCAGGCACATCCCCAGAAGGGAGTGTGCAGGAGGCAGCTGATCGATGTTTCTCTCTCATCGATGTTTCTAATTCTCTATCCCTCTCCTTTCCTCTCTGTAAAAAATCAATAAAATATATTTAAAAAATAAAAATAAAAAACAACACAACAAAAAAACTGAGGGAGTTAATTTTCAGAGTTTGGATGGTTTTTATACCATCATAGGTTTAGAAAGCCCCATAGTGCAGCAGTCGCCAACCTTCGGACCTCGCAGAGCACTGGTTGGCGACCACTGCTCCAAAGGTCTCCTTAAACCAGCGGCTGCCAACCTTTCGGACCTCACGGACCAGGACCACCAGTTGGCGACTGCTGCCACAGTGGTTTAGAGGCTTTCTTTTTCTTTTCAACAAAAGCTTATAAAATACCTGGCAAATGGTGTAAATAGCTGTAATGTAAATAGGACATATTAATTCAAATTATAATCCTCAAAAGAATTCCACTCTCACACATTGAAACAAAACATTACCAGTATAAGAACATCTTTTTTTCTTTTTTAATTGTTTAAGCAGGCTCATTTAACTTTTATTCAATCACAAAGAACATGAGCACCCTAGAACTATCTTAGCTTACTTCTCCCACTCCCCAGAACTAGTTCAGTAACTTGTCTTATACTCTTCCAGACTCTGGACATGTGCTTTCAAGTGATAACTTTTCTATGCTCTTGGCTGAAATTTTTCCTAGAATATATTTTGTAGTTTATTACCTAAATAATTCCTGCCAATCAGGCAAACCTGTTCTTTAACATTCTCCCTCAGCAGGCGTATACAAAAGTTTCTAAAGCTATCTTCGTGAAGACATACTCTCTGAACAGCATAAAAAAGGAAGTAATCGAATTTCATTTCTTGATTAGGAAAAATTGACCTTTACCAATATTCAGATAAAAAAAGAAAAAAATAATTTTACCAGTCAGACTTAATTTATATTTAAATTTTAAGTGATAGATAGGTCTTAAGTTCATGTCATTGAGTAGAAATTTTTTCACAAAACACAATAACTAGTTTTAGATGCTTTAACTCCGAAGTATAAATGAACACTTTAATATCAATAGAAAAGTAGATAACATCAATCAATATACCTCTTTTAAAAAATGAAAGTTAAGCCTTGGCCGGGTAGCTCAGTTAGTTAGTATCGTCCAGATACACCAAGGTTGCAGGTTTGATCCACAAACAAGGCACATACAAGAACCAACCAATAAATGCATAAATAAATGGAACAACACACAGATGTTTCTCTCTCTACCCCTCCTCTCTCTCTTTAAAATCAACAAAACAATAAAAATTGTCTTTCTCTGTTTTAACTTATTTTACTTAGCATAATACCCTTTAGGTCCCATCCATATAGTTGCAAATAGGAAGATTTCATTCTTTTTAATGGCTGAGTAATATTCCATTATATATATATATATATATATATATATATATATATATATATATATATCACATATCTTTTTTTTAATACCACATATCTTTGAAATATTTTTACAGCTGCAAATGCATTTGATTCTAAGTTCGAGAGGAAAAGTGTATTATTCAGCTCTATATTCTTAGCCCTTACTACAGTACCCACCACAGCAATTTGTAGGTGGTTAACGAATGCTGAATGCAACCTGATGTAAAACTGAGATGAAGATGGAAACACATGTAGAATCATATGCTCCTGAAGATCTATGTTTGCTTTAAATATTTATTTAGTGCTAATTTGGGCTGAGGACTGAAAAATCAAATCTCTATTTGGAAAACAATCTTTCATTGAAATGGGCACTTTGGTGTACATATATGGCAGAAATTACTATTGTTTCTATTACCCATGTCACCATGTCTTTCTTCTAATCTATTTAAGAATATCTTTCCAGCTAATAGCTCTTCTTAAATTTATCTAGCAGGTCTTCCAATGCTCACCAGTAGATCCCCACAAAACTATGTATATCTTTGATACACAAAATCATAAGCAATTTATTTTCATAGTTAAAAAGCAAAGATAAATGGCAATTTTACCTCAGCTCAGGTTCTCAAGCATAAAGTTTTATAAATTGTTCTTCTATAGGGTACTTTACATTTAGAATAAATATATTTTGTATAATTTAATTAACAAATAGAACTCTAAAGTACAGGAAAATGTAAGTAACACATTTTTTCTTAATTTCAACTCATATCAAAATGAGCAGTTCTTCGCTGCGCAAGATAAACAGCATAGAAGTGAAAACAAAGTTGACTATTTTTTGCAGTGATAAAATAACGAGACCCTTTAAGTGTGCAATTAGCCCTGGCTGGTGTGGCTCAGTTGGCTGAGTGTCATCCCATGCACCAAAGATCACCAGTTTGATTCTCAGTAATTAGGGTACATGCCTAGGTTGCAGGCTTGATCCCCCCAGGTAGGAGGCATGCAGGAGGCAGCTGATAGATGATCCATGTTTCTCTCTCACATCAATGTTTCTCTCTCTCTTTCTTCCCCTCCCTCTCTCTCTAAAATTAATAAAAACATAATATTTTTTAAAAGTTTGCAATTAGAAGAAAATAGCTGTAAGGATGGATGACCTTGAATTATCATCCTTGAACAGTGCATACACCATTCTGGCAGGATTATTTTGAAAGAAAACATTAAGATAACACTAATCAATCCCATTAAAAGCTAACACTAAATAATGAATCTATCATATACATTAAGAAAAAAAAAAGAATAAAGCTATTCTAATGTGGTTTTTAAAATAGCTTCGATAGTTTCATCTTCCACTAGCTTTCTTTTCAATAATGGTGACTACTTCCTGCTCTTTATTATATATTATCTATAATGCTGCTGAATAATCCTATATAATAAAGGATATAATATAATATGCAAATTAACCCTCACACCCTCACAAGATGGCTGCCTACAACCAGGCCGGCAGGGGGGTTAGTGAGGGACGACCGAACGACTGAACAAGCAGGCTGCGTGGGGCGACCAAGCCAGCACGGGGATTAGTGAGGGACGACCAAACGACTGAACAGCAGGCTGCATGGGGCAATCAGGCCGGCGGGGGGGCTGTGAGGGACGACCAGGCCGACAGCGGGGGCAGTTGCGGGCAACTAGGCCGGCAGGGGGAGCAGTAAGAGGTGACCAGGCCAGTGGGGGCGGAAGGGGGATTGTGAGAGGGATGTCCGACTGTCAGTTTAGGCCCGATCCCCAGGATTGGGCCTAAACCAGCAGTTGGGACATCCCCCGAGGGGTCCCAGATTGGAGAGGGTGCAGGCTGAGCTGAGGGGACCCCCCCATGCACTAATTTCATGCACCGGGCCTCTAGTTTATAAAATAAGAACATAACAGTATCAGTGTCCTGGAAATAAAAAACAAGAAATATTAATCTAGAAGGGCTACCATGATTTTCAATATGGCACAGAACAGCTATTCACTAAAGGATGTGATGGAAGATCTATTCCAAATCAAAAGTTGGTAATACCTGAAATATCCTTGGAATTCCTCCAGTATTGTAGTGAACCACTAGGCTGACTTTATTATCCTTTTCCACAATTTCAAAGGATCCTTCTTTCCATTTTGTAATCCCAGTTTGCATACTTCGAATTCTGATAGGACCATGTATCTTCAGAGGAGACATACTTTCTTTAAAAATAAATTGCTTCTAGCAAAATTATAAAACAAAAATACAACTTCACCCAACAGATTCTAAGAAAGAAAAATAAAATTAAAAGTTACAATTTACTAGTGATTAAAAATAAGTGTATGAAAGAGAACAGTTAGTGAACCATCTTATATGTCTTTTTCTCCATTTCCATAAACCACATTTTATTAAGCATCCTTAAAGGCCTTGATTAGCTGGATGGCACAGGTAAGAAAGACAACTAAAGCAGTCACTCATGTTAAGTGTCTGAATCTAACCAACATTTAGTTCTTCTATACACATTCTCTTCTTTGCCATGTGTCTTGCACCTGTGTCTATTAGTGCCTAAATTTTGCATTTTGCACCATTAACAAGTCAAAGTGCTGCCTCTAAAGGCGTGCCAATCGATAATACTAAAGATTCCATTCTCAATGTGACCAATTTTTACATTCCTTCATGAATACTAATGCATCTTGAACTTCAAACATACGTAAAAAAATATTTTCAGTCAACTGACTTCATTTCTTAGAATGGAGCTCCTTCCAAAATATCAAATCATATCACCAAGTAGTCTAAGCATATCCACGTTTAGAAGACATTAAATTAATACAAACTATAAGAAAAATCAAATTAGTTTAACCTCCAGAATTATTTGAGAAAACCATTTATTTTCTAGGGAAAACAAACTAACAATATAATCTGTCTTCCTAAGAACCACCTATCATTTATATTTAATATTATCATTCCCAGAAAGACTATCAATTTTATCCATGACAAATATTCAAATTTCCCAAATAAACTTCTAATAACTTAAAAACGACTTACAATAGAATGTCTAAAACTCTTCAAATTAGCTTACCAAATGTCAATACATAAATACAATTCTAGTAATAGCACAGAATGCTATCAAATAGCATGTGTATTATACAATTCTATGTCTATATACCTTCCAGGTATCTTTACAATGAATTTCAGATCAAATTACATCACACACAATGTTAAAACAAAATTTTATTTATACACTTCAAATCTCTAAAAACACTGCTCTAATACAGATTCTTGCCTATAATTTAATAAATTTTAAAAAATTCATTAAATTTTGCATCTGCAAAAACAGCTAACCTAGAAAAGCTTTAATAAAGTAGTCATCAAAACAGACTAGGTCTAGATATCAGGAACCAGCTCTGATATAATTTATAACTTATCTTTTCTAACCATTTGTTTTCTCAATTGTAAAATAGGTAGAGCAAATGTTATAGTGTTGCAGAGTTAAACAACACACATTAGGCATTAAATAGACCCCAGCTCTTAATATGAAATTAGTGTCCACTTTCTGAATTTATTCCTGGTCTATAATACCCTTCTCCAAAGATACCAGATAAATAAATTAACAGGGATTACCAATCCAACTGCCTATAAGGCGTGGCAAGTCACACAGATGACTTAGGCAGGCAAAATATGAGAACCACTAATCACCCCACCCAGAGTGGTTGAGTTGGATGAGCACTGTTCAGTGTCCTGAAAGTGCAGGTGAGGTTCTTGGTCAGGGCGCACACCTGAGTTTCAGGTTTGACCCTCGGGGAGCATAAGGAAGACAATCAATTGATATTTCTCTCTCACATCGATCTGTCTGTCTCTAACTTCCTTTCTCTACCTATGTCCTCAGGTGAGGATTAAACAAAAGAAAACTGCTATTCAAATTTAGTCAATTTTTTCATGTGAAAATAAGTGAACCTAGCATTGCCAGATCATCTAATTTTTCAAGAAAATGACATCCCAATTTTCATGTAAACCTGCCCGTTTTTAATTGTGGTCAGTGAATTCAAAGTTATTTTTAAAAGCTACAAATAAGCCCTAGCAGGTTTGGCTCAGTGGACAGAGCATCAGCCTGTGGACTGAAGGGTCCCAGGTTGGATTCCAGTCAAGGGCACATGCCTGGGTTGCGGGCTCAGTCTCCAGTAGGGGGCGTGCAGGAGGTAGCCAATCAATGATTCTCTCATCATTGATGTTTCTATCTCTCTCTTCCTCTCCCTTTCTCTCTGAAATCAATAAAAAATATTAAAAATAAACAAACAAAATAAAAGCTACAAATCAAACAAAACCCACCTGTAGGCAGGGTACAGCCTGGGGACTACTAGTTTGAGGCCTCTAGATAGTACACATCAAATAAGTGGGAATGAAATTTAAAAAGAGACGTGAAAACACTTTGAATAGTTAAAAGGTGTTGCGCATTGTAAGTCCTTTATTGTTATTCACTCATCTCATCAAATTTTTTGGGTTCCTACTGTGGTCAGATTTAGATAGTATAATTGGCTGGGTATATGAATCCATCAAAGTAATCGAGTCCACTACTGTTTTTATCCAGTCTGTTAATATGACATTTTGCTCAACCAGTAATTACAGAATTTTGGGCCAGCAATGTGTGTTTGTAATACTTTACTTTGGCAATTAATAATTTGGTGCTTCATTGTTTGGATATGTCCTCTGAGATTTTTTCCTACTCTGTCCTTTAGCACTGCCAATAATATGTGGCCCCCTCCTAACCAGATGCCTATGCCAGAAACATGGGCGTTATCTTTGACTTTTCTCTTGATGATTATTGATATTGGATTGGGGATGGAAGGTAAAGGTAGAGTACTGTCAATTCTACCTCCATACACCTTCCAGACATTTCTATAATGAGCTGCAGATAAAATCACATCATTTTCCTCCTTAATATTATCCAATGACTCCCAATTGCCCTCATAATAAAATCTAGACTCATTAATATGACATAAACCCCCTTCATGATCCAGGACCTCCTTACCTCTCTATTCCCAACAAGCTCTCCAAATCCAGCCATTTGAACTACTTATAATTTCCCTAAAAAAGCCACATACTTTCATGCCATGTGTACATTGTAGTCAATGTTTATAGGATTTTTATGTACTTTCCCCATCCTCCATAATTTCTCCTCCTGTCTATAAAATCAAGGCTCAACTTAGATATTAGCTTCTTTAAGAAGCTTTGCCTAGCTACCTTTCACTTTACTCTCACTCCATATCCACACTGACATTGTTTAAGGTTTCTCTATTCTCCTATTATACTCTGTGCTCACTGTTAGTAGAGCATTTATCACATTATATAAACTGTTTACTTTATATAAACTGTTTACCTCTTTGTCTCTATCTAGACTCTGTTATTTAAAGACAGGGAATATGTCCTTTAATCTTTACATCTCCATTAGAACAGTGTCTGACATACATGAAACAACAATCTATATATATAAAAGGCTAATATGCAAAGTGTCCCCACGGGAGTTCAACCAGGAAACCGAGAGTTCTATTGCTCGCTATGATGTGCGCTGACCACCAGGGGACGGCATGGAACAAAGGAAGGCCCTGGTCGGCAGCCGGGGAAGGGAGGCCCTGGCCAGCAGCTGGAATGCCCAGAAGAGCCCTGATCGCCAGCCAGGCCTAGGGACCCTACTTGTGTACAAATTTCATGCACCAGACCTCTAGTTTAAGAATAAATAACAACAAAATAATGAACAAATCAATATTATCAATTTATTGTTAAAATATACAACAGTAGCCCTAACCGGTTTGGCTCAGTGGATAGAGCGTCAGCCTGCGGACTGAAGGGTCCCAGGTTCGATTCCGGTCAAGGGCCTGTACCTTGGTTGCGGGCACATCCCCAGTAGGGGGTGTGCAGGAGGCAGCTGATCGACGTTTCTCTCTCATCGATGTTTCTAACTCTCTATCCCTCTCCCTTTCTCTCTGTAAAAAATCAATAAAATATATTTAAAATATATATATATATATATACAACAGTAGATACTGGAACCATAAATTCCTTTTATGTGACCAATATAGGGTTATATTTACTAAGTTCTTTAGAAGAGTATCACTATGCCCTGTATTACATATGACTCATCTTTTGAACACTTAAGCTTTTTCTATGTGGACCTGAACTTTTACACTAAATGTACAGCTGTTCTCATATCCTAAACTCAATGAGAAAAAGGTCATTTATGAAGAACAAGAATTAATATGCAGTTACAGAATGCATTAAAACAAAAACATTAATAAACTTGCCTAAACTGGAATTCATTTTATTCACTGCTCAATGAAGAAACTTCATTTTAATGCCGAAACCGGTTTGGCTCAGTGGATAGAGCGTCGGCCTGCAGACTGAAGGGTCCCAGGTTCGATTCCGGTCAAGGGCATGTACTTGGGTTGCGGGCACATCCCCAGTAGGAGATGTGCAGGAGGCAGCTGATCGATGTTTCTCTCTCATCGATGTTTTTAACTCTCTATCTCTCTCCCTTCCTCTCAGTAAAAAATCAATAAAATATATTAAAAAAAAAAAAGAAACTTCATTTTAAGAGTATGTCAGATTACTTCACTTTAAAAAAATGTCATTATGGGTCATGGTGCCAAATTAAAATGAATTAAAATAAAACCACATTATCTTAGTGTTTTCCTTACAGACCAAAAGTAAATAAAGGTTATTAACCTTGAATTCCTCCAACAAAAACTTGTTTTTAAAAATTGCATTTAACAAAAATTTGAGATGAAGATTTCAATGTTCACTAAAGTTAATAAAAAATGAAAACTTAATTGTTACTTCTGTTTCCCTATATATAATTTTCAAATATTTGATGCAGTTTTGATTACACATATAAAATTTTACTTCAGATATTTAATATTTTCTTAACCTTTTCTACTAGCAACCTCTCTTTCTTTGAAAGAAGAAACCCTGAAAGGTGCAGGACATAAAACTGGCAGAACCAATAAAATAAAACTTCTAATGCCTCAATTTAGTCCATCACCTGCTCTTGTACTAAATGCATTAACTATATCTATTTTTGTATAATCATCATATTTTCAGGGTTTACCTAACTTAAAGAGAAAAAAACTGAGTTTCTTTTTCAGTATTCAGCATAATTCAGTAACTGTTAAACTTTCTATGAACCTAGAACCAAGATAAGATTTCTCTGAATTCTGTAATGCTAATTCACTATCAAAGTGATATTAGGAAGACAAAATATAATAAAAACTCATTCTTTAAGTACACCGTTCAGATTCTCCTTTCCCTAAATTTCTTCACAATTATTAAAACTACCATTCAACCTTGTGCATTCTATGAAAGCTCAATAACATTGCCAAAAATGTTTCTATACCCTGGACAGATATTTAAACACTCCTATTTTAGCCCCGGCTGGTATTGCTCAGTGGTCAGAGTGTCAGCCCCTGCACTGAAGGTCATGGTTCCATTCCCAGTCAAGGGCACATTTCTTTTTTTTTTTAAATATATTTTATTGATTTTTTTACAGAGAGGAAGGGAGAGGGATAGAGACCTAGAAACATCGATCAGCTGCCTCCTGCACGCCCCTCACTGGGGATGTGCCCGCAACCAAGGTACATGCCCTTGACCGTAATCGAACCCGGGACCCTTGAGTCCGCAGGCCGACGCTCTATCCACTGAGCCAAACCGGTTCCGGCAAGGGCACATTTCTAAGTTGCAGGTTTAATCCCTGACTTCATGCGGGGAGTGTGTAGGAGGCAACCAATCGATGTGTCAGGCAACCAATCGATGTGTCTCTCTGCACATCGATATTTCTCTCTCCCTCCCTCCCGCCCTCTCTCCCTCCCTTCCACTCACTCTAAAAAGCAATGGGAAAAATATCCTTGGGTGAGGATTAACAAAAAATAAAAACCTACAGCTTAAAAATAAATAATTAAATAAATGTTCCTATTTTAGGTATTGCTTTGAAAATATCCTTATCTAGAAAGGCATTCTGTGGTTAAAAAAAATACACACACACACACAAAAAAAAAACATGCTAAAGCATGAAAACTGTTACTAAAAACAGAAGAAAGAAAATGGTCAATTCTTGCCACTATGCATACTCTTGGAAACATATCTAAAATAAAAACATTACTTACTTTTCAGTGACTTTTACTGAAAAACCCTATGTAATAACGATTCACCTTTATTCTGATGCTTGTGCCAAAGGCAATGCAATCTTCTTGGGGAACTACTCATATTCTGCAGCTATCCCAGTTCTTCGGAAGCCATCAACTCAGCTAAAGGAAATATAATTATGCCTCTTAAAAATAATCCAATTCACAAAATTAAAATGATTGTTAAAAGATTAACCTTTTCATTATTTAAAAACCACAAATTTAACCTTATTGAAAAAATTTAAAACATAATGCTCAGGATACACACACACACACTCACACACACACACACACACACAAACAGCCACTCTGTGTGCAAACTGAGGGACTCCAGGAGGAGCTGTACCTTGATCCATTTGTATCTTGGTTTATCCCTGCTACATTTTGAAACTATGAAGGCAGTGAAAAAGAATACATCCTTTGTTGACTTTATAAACATTGTTACATAAGGATGTTTTATGTCTTAAAACACCACTTCCACCAGGTGCTGTTACAAATTTTAAAAAACTGATAAACTTAGTTTTTACTTTTCTCAAAACTAGCTCTACAGGTTTCTTTCTCAAACTGAAGCATCTCTAAATCTCTCATTGCCTTTTGAAAACTAAAACAACTTTAAACTGATTTTTTCACTTCTAAAAAAATCATTTATTGAGCTACTCTAATTTGATACACTGTGGTAGGGATACAAATGTGAAAATTATACAGTCCATGCCCTCAGAAGGCTTCCCTATACTTGTCCTCCCACCATCATTGAGGCAAAAAATCTTAGTATCAGCTTTAACCTCATTCTCATTTATCAAAAACCCCATCTTTTTGTAACTACTACCTTAATTCAGAAACACATCACTTTGCTACCACTCCAATCTAAATATTACACACATTTATTAAGCACAGTGCTAGGCACCATACATGCATTTATTTTCACAATAAACCCTAAAGGACAGGTATTAATATCTATTTATAGATGAGGAAACTGAAGCTAAGAGTTCAAGTAATTTGTCCATGATTATAGTCAGTAAGTGACAAAAATAAGTCTAACATCAGAATCTACGTTTTTAACCACTACCATAATGCATCCTCATCAATGAAAGTGATTCCAGCAATGAATCCTTTACCCTTTCTAAAAAACTACTTCTTTTATCTCCTACCAAAGAAAGTACAATATGCACTAATTATCTTCTTAACTTTCTCCCTGAAGGAGGGGGAGAGAGGAAGGAGGACCTGTCCTATCTTCTTTTGTACTCCTGCAAAATAACAGGCACTTTGTAAGTGCTAAATACTTGCCATTGATGCCAATTCCCTCCCAAACATTTTTAAATTCTGTGTTAAGAATACTTAACACACACACACACACACACACACACACACAGAATACCTAACACAAGATTTGCTCTCTTAACACATTTTTAACTGTACAATACAGTACTGTTAACTATAGGTACAATGTTCCACAGCATATCTCTAGAACTTACTCAACTTGATTAAATGAAACTCCCTCCTAAACGTTTTTAACAGCTCATCACTCACTACCTATAAAATAAATCCAAATGCCTCTTTGTTTGGCATTCATACATTTCCTATGTTTTATTTTCTACTTCTCAACAAAAATGTTGTTCTATATACACACAAATTACTGAATTTTAATACTTTCTTTCACATCCACCACCAACAACTTAAATATGACATTTTCCTTTATCTGTTTATGAAAACATCATCCTCACTGGTCTCATAGTTTAACCTGTTGTTAAGATATATAAACCACTATTCTGATTTTAAGGGCTTTCTTTCTTAAAAAGATCCATAAAACAAATGCACAGAGATAAAATTAGTGTTATGGCTGAAAGAGAGAAGTTGACCTAGATAAACTTTATCTCCACATAAAGTGTCTAAAATCTGAATGGTTTTATGACATAAGAATGTAAAATCATCCAAAGCCATGGAAAACCCGTTGTTTTTTCTTTCGTGTTCTTTAATTTGTTTGTAGAGTGAATATTCAAATGACAAAAACATCAGTAAGCTGGTGCTTCCAAAAGACATGATGGTTCTTACAGCAAGCTCCAGTTTACTTATTCACTTAACAAATTTTTGAGAAAGAAACATAAAATAATTACTAGCTTATATTCTAGTAGGGTCAGACTTTAAATAATCACACAAATAAAGATATAATTAGAATTTCTGAAAAATGATATAAAATGCAGGGCTTGATGAGAGAGTATAATATGGTACCTGACTTAAGACTTGGGAGTTAGGGGTTAGAAAGTACCACTTAAGCTGAAAACTGAAGAATGAGTTAAGTGAATGGTCATGCTGGGTCAATCCAGGCAAACAGAACAAAATGTGTAAAAGCCCTGCGATAGAAAATAATTTGGTGTGACTGAAGAAATGAAAAGCAGTGTGACTGGAGTTCTGAGAGGGAAGGGAGGATGTGCAAGATGAAGCTAGTAAAGCAGGAAAGAATCAGATTATGAAGAATCTGTTTATGTAAGGATTTTGAATTTTACCCTAAATGTAATAAACACTAGTGATGGGCAATCCACTGAAGAGTTTTAAGCGGAGAAATGACATGTTACTGCTGAATGGACAAGTGATGTGCTTTGTTTGGGTTTCGGGAGGAGAGTGAAAGCAGCAAGAATGAAAGAAAACAGGGCAACCAGACATCAAAGTATTGAGTGATTCAACTTATAACACTTACAATAACAACGTTTACTGGCTATTGACGGAAGGCCATGTGCATGCTATGGTTACTGCGTTTAATCCTCCTAACAATCCAATAAGGTGATGTTTATTCCCATTTTACAGATGAGAAAACAGGGTATCAGTGACATTAAGTCCAGGAGAATGAGGATTGTGGCTTCAACTAGAAAAGGGACACTGAAGATGTACAGAAATAGATTCAGTTATTAAATGCCAAGAATCCCTCAGTGCTCCATCCTAGGCCCCTGTCTTTTCTAGCACCGTACGCTCCTTAGGCAATTCCATCCACATCCATAGCTTTACCATCATGGTGGCAGATGACATATATACACTTACTTGTATGTCCAGCCCAGAACTCTCCTCTGAGCACCAACCCAATATATACAACTGTCTACTTGACATCCTCTCTTAGATATCTCCAGGTAGATACTTTTCAGATACTGCCACCCCCAAAAAGGGCCTATCCCTAGGCAGAGCCAAATTTTTGAAAGAACTACCACAAAACCAGTACCAACTTTCCGAAACACAGGATTTTGTCACCGATTATCATTTCCTTTCATGGACCATGCCCCAAAATATGTAAACTTGATAACGTGATCTGATGTCTATAGCTGGGGAGCAACCAAATGCATGACAAAAATACAATCCATGCCTTTTGGTTAGAGATGATTAGGAGAGGAAGGTGAAGAATTGTCCAGAGTGAAAGAGTACCCTGTCCAAGGCCTGACGGATGTGCGGCTACCGCAACCTAAGTTCCCTTTAGAGACAGCAGGCCTCCTTAAGGGGCGAGTGGCGGACGGCGACAGCCCCCAGCGAAATGGGGCAGGTTCGGGCTGCGGAGGAAGCGAGCGACAGTTAGGACCAGGTCAAAGAAGAAAAGCTTAGGGATAGACCCTAGTGGAGTACGTGTGAGGCCAGGGGAGCTGCGAGGGGATGGAGGCAGGCTGAGCAGCAGCAGGGCGAACTCCAGAAGAGTGAACGCCGAGTGGGCGGACCGCACGGGGCAAGGGGGGTCTCGGAAAACGGCTCAGTGGAGAAGCTCGCTGGGCCCGTCTTACCTGTGCCTGTGAGTCCGGGGCTCGCACCGAGTCCGCGCGGAGGGGGAAGAATGGAGGTTAAGGAAGGAAGGGACGCCGAACCCAAACGGAGGTCTACAGTTCGCTACCCCAAGTCAGGGAGAGTGGCTGATGGCGGGAACTGTGACCACACGCAAACACGCAACGCACGCACGCACACTCGACGCGACCGGACAAGGCGCGTGCGCGCAAGCCTGCAAACACCGCCCCTCCACGCCCCCGTTCCGCCCCAGCACCAAGCGGAGTCCGCGGAGGTAGCTCCGCCCCATAGTAGCACGCATGCGCATGGCCACTTCACTCACTTGCGACTTCCCCTCATTTCGTCTTAGTCGGCCTAGTGGGGCATGCGCACTACTTGTCCTCCCAGGACTTTTTTCCCGCCCTTCACTGGCCTCCGGAGTAGGGTGGGAGTTCACGCCCCTCTCTCGGGGTACCTCCCAGGGGATGCGGGGACAAGTAGGTGGCAGATGTCCTTAAGGTCCTGAATCTTAAGAGGCAAAGGACATACTTTGCTGAGAGCTAGGAGGTGGGAATAAGTTGTTCAGAAGGGGTCAGGGGTGAAAGGTCATAGGGCTGCGAAGGGGCGGAGCGAGCCAAAGGCGGATGGCGGCTGCGGCGGTTCATCATCTTGGGCGGCTTCAGTGCTGAAGTGGGGACGTGGGTCGGGAGCGTTCGGCGGTAGGCGTAGAGCGGCTGCCACTCCCAACATGCACAGTCTGGCGACGGCTGCGGTAAGTGACTGGGCCGCCCGGCCTAGGCCCAGAACCTCTCTCTCTCCTAGCCCTGCGTTTCGGCCTCCTCCTAGGTCCCTGTGTCGAGCCCGGAGTCCAGCGCCTCCTGCCCTCTCCCCGCCGAGGTCCCGGCCCTCCTCCTCGCCGCGCCTTGGCCGTGGTGGAGCCCGCCCTCACTTTGCTCGCCGGCCGGCTCTCGTGGCCTCTTGCGTGGCGTTTCGCGTTCTTCTCCGGCCTCGGGGCCTGGTCCCGCGCCCGGAGCGCCGGTCTCGCGGCCGGGACCGGCCATTCATTGCGCTGACCGACAGTTTGGGGTGGCGGTTGCGTGCTGGGCGCCGGTGGGGATGAAGAGAATTCCGTGAGCAACCTGACAGGGCCCGGGGCCCTCGGGACTCCCTGCCTAGGCACAGCACGGCGGGAAGGAAAGGGCTTCTGACCCAAACAACATGCTTTACCGAAGCAACGCTCAGACCCGGGCTCATATGTGACTTACGGTTCTCTGCGCTTAAAATATTTTCCCACACATCTCATTTTATCAGTGTAGTTTTTTGACAAAACGGGGCCTGCAGTTCACCTGTCTGAAGTAATCCTATGGCTTCCGATTGCATTAAGATAAAGTCCAGACTCCTTGCCATGACATACAAAGCCCTCCCTTGTCTTGACCCACGTTTGCAGTCTCGTTTTATGTCACTTGCTCGGTAGGCTCCAGTAACACTGGCCGCCGTTGCATCCCTTCTACCCTCCCTTCCAGTGCGCTTTTCCATCCAAGGGGCGCTTTCTGATCTCTGTTCTTGGAACACTCGTCCTACTCCCATCCCTTATGTGCACGCACACACACCATGTGGGCTAAAGTGGCTCCTCTTCCCTCAGGTCTCTGCCTAAACCTCCCTAGAATTGGCCTTCCCTTCCCATTCTTTTTAAAGTAGTTCTGTAACCCTCGACTTGACTTTATTAAAGTACCTTTACAGCATGGATTCCGCTTTGTAATTTTTGTATTCATTCCCTTGTTTTGTCGGTCTCCCTCTTGAGGACAGAGACGGGTATAGTGTGGGCCCTGTGTACATGGTTACCCTTGTTCCTGGCAGAAAGTAAGGGCTCAGATACTTTGCTGAATGAGGGAGGTGGCTACTGAGAGCGCTTAGCCATGAGGGGAACACAGGACCATGTGATCTGAGCACGCTCTTCTAAATGCCCATCCCACTTTTTCTGTTTCACCAAGATGAAGTGATTTAGGAGAGGGTAACATATGGAAACTGCATTATTCGGCAAAATGACAAGTACCAAATAGAGAACCAAACAAATCACCTTAACTTTAAATATAAAAAGTGAGCTTAAGTGTGATTGGGCTGTGGAAAACTGTCATTTCCAGAGCCAGTGGCATCTCTGCCTCCAGACACCATGTGTCTAAGTGTTTGTAACTATTCAACCCTGGCTATCAATGGGGTGACAGATGTCGCAGCCAGATCGCCCTCACATCCATTGTAACTATTCAAAGTGGAGAGGTACCTTTTATATGTCTCAATTGGTATTTGCAGTTTCCCAATTTTTTTCTTCTCCCAAATTGCATGTATAATTTAGAAGAAGCAAGTCAAGATGAGGTTGCTGCTGGTAGGGGAGGGGCAAGTTAAATAAGGGATTCTAATAAGGTTGGCTTGTCTGTCCATCTCTCAAAATCTGATTGTGTCTTCTCCACACTTTGATACCAAGCTGCTCTTCTCCCTGTGCCTCCCCAAACTCTATACCTATTCACTTTTATTTTCATTTGCTCCCTAATGCTTCTTTTGAACAGCCATTAAAGCTGTGTTTCATTACTTAAAATAAGTACTGAATTGATGTTTTTCCAATTAAATTTACAATATCTTGCATTTATTTAAAATTTGAACTTTTAGGTACAGTTTCACCTGTTATGCTGATTAGACCACACAAAAGTGCTGACAAGTTCCTTTGTACCACTCATTCACTAGAATATTTGGTTAGTCAGGAGGTGGAAGCATAGAAAAGTTGAGTGGCCTCTTTCCCAATTCTCTATGCCTTCCATTAGACAAGCTGCTTGTTATTCTGATTATTTTGCTCTGGGTAAAGGAACAGTAATGGTATTTGTCACTAGCTACTGTAATACATGCAATAGTGCTTGCAATAATCTAAAGCCACTTGAGAAAATGCTTACTTTGTGCCTAATGATGAAAATTTGCATTTGTGTTAACGTTTATCTCTTTTTAATATAACAGGTAAATCATCACTCATGGGGAGACATTACTATCAAAGGAGAATGTAGTCACATGTGAATGCAGAATGTCATTCACAAAAGGGAGAATTTGAGATAATTTTGGAAGTATCTTAAATTTTCACTCTTGAGTGGTATTTTATTACGCTAAAAATGTATGGTGTAGTAGATTTGTCATTTTTTTTTTTTTAAAGAATGAAATTGGAACCTTATCTTTTTTTTTTAATATATTGTTATTGATTTCAGAGAGAGAGAGAGAGAGAAACATCAATGATGAGAGAGAATCATTGATCAACTGCCTCCTGCATGCCCCCTATAGGAGATCGAGCCCACAACCCAGGCATGTGCCCTTGGGTTGGAATCGAACCCAGAACTCTTCAGTCCTCAGGCCAATGCTCTAGTCACTGAGCCAAACCAGCTAGGGCTAGACTTGTCATTCTTTACAGAATACATCCTAACATCTTCATTATTGCCACCATAGAAAGTAATTTCTGTCTCACATCCTATATATAAAAGCCTAATATGAAAATTGACCGAACGGCGGAACGACTGGTTGCTATGACGTGCACTGACCACCAGGGGGCAGACGCTCAGAGCTGCCCGCAGGCCCCAGGCCAGCCAAGGCGGGTGCCAGCGGGGACCCCCAGTTGCCCCGCAGATCAGCCCTGATCGCCAGCCAGGCCTAAGGACCCTACCTGTGCGTAAATTTTGTGCACCGGGCCTCTAGTCTATTAAATAAGGACACACATACCACACAGGATTACCTAAAGATTAAATAAGAATAACGAAGTGCTCAGTGGTTGGCTAGGTTCACTCACTGGTGAAATGACTTGCTCCCAGATTCAACCTTGGGACTCAATTCCTGCCTCCGCAGAGTAACAAATCACTTTGTTATGGACCTCACAGGTTGCTTTAGAATAGTAGAACTACAAACCTTCACATACTGTGGGTCTTCTGTAATGAATGTTATGCTAGTGATTTAAAACAGCCAAAGGTAAGCCTTTAGGAGATGCATTGGGTATGCATTTTTTAAAATTTTCCTCACTGATATCCATTGGCAATTCTAACATCCATAAACCTTTTTTTCCCATCACTTTCCACCTAAGCGGCAACATCATTAGTTACTTTATATCTTTTTGTTGAAGCTGTACTAGACTCCCAGACACTCTCCCCTTTGTCAGATAAAAAGAACATTGTGCACTCTGAAGGATCTAATTCAAACACTATCTCCTCCCTCCCATGTCTCCTGTTGAATTTAAGCAGATTGCCTAATTTCTCTTTGCTTATTCACTTCCATTTTTAAAAAGGTATTTTAAAGAACATTCTGGCCCTTATTTTATAAAGATAGGATAATTAAGCTAATTCATTATTTCCCTTTGGCATTATTTAAGAAGTGTAGATTTTTTGAATATCATCATTATGTAGACATCCAAAACCACATGTTGAGTCATCTCCAGAATTGGGAAAATACCTGTTTCAGTCCAATTCCATTCTGTTACATATTCATTGGTAGGAAAACCAGCAGTTATTTTGGCCTTTAAACATAAAATTGTATTGATAGGTTTGTCTATTTTCTGTTTAAGAAAACCATCAATGTCAATTTTTAATTTTAATCATAGGGGCTAAATCATATTTTTATTTATGGGTAAATGAGAGTCTTTTTATTTAAGTTCTAGATATGTTTTTCCTTTTCATATTAGGTGTTAAAGATTTTCATAGATAGAAAACCAACTGTCAATAACCTGTGTTTGTGACACTTGGCGTTAACCATTGGTGACTCACTTTGTTAAATCTCTTGCCTGTGTTAAGCTTTGTTGAAAGAAAGAAAATTATTTGAAATACGTTTTTCTTATACAAATCGTTAAACAGAAAAGAGGAGAGTGATTCCCTCGTAAATGTTGACAATACAAATATTTTTCACACATATTAAAAGGAAAGAACCACTGGCATTAAGTGAGTATATAACTAAAGACACAGTTATATCCAATAGATTCTGTTTCTAATCTTAGAAGACATTGTTGAGGAAGATAATAGTCCAAATCAGACTCTCATGACTTTATGTTTCTAGATATGTAATTGAACTTACTATTTAGCCAAATCCAACTGTTAGTGAGCTGTATTATACATAATAGAATATTAAAGTTCTATATTGTGTTCTTAAGAAACATTTTCTTCAATTTGGAAGGATATTTGTGATTTCAGTTCTATAAACCAGTTAGGGTTCACTGATTTTAGAGAGAAGTAGACTAATTCTGCCATACACTCACTGTGCAATTTTGAGTATGTTAAACCTCCCTGAAACCGTTTCCTGTTAGAATTTTGAGAATAAAGGGAGGTGATCCACAGTGACTGGCTGGCACATAGTATGTTCAATAAATTTACCTCCTATAAATAGTTTCTAGAAAAGGCAGACCTAATATATAGCAACAGAAAGCATATCTTTCTGCTTTCTGGTTACCTAGGGCTGAATGTGGTGGGGTTTATTAAAAGGAGTACTAGAAAACTTTGAGGGGTGGTAATTGAAGTGGTCTATGTCTTGATTGTGGTGATGGTTACTCCGGTGTATAGATTTCTCAAATACTGAAAAGTTTTATTGTGTGCAAATTATAACTTAAAAAAATTATTATTTTTAAAGGGCCACTTAGATTAGGTTCTCACTTATAACTAAATAATTTCTAAGATTTTATAACTGACTGAGACTTTGGGAATAATCCTATGTAATAAAAAGCTAATATGGAAATCAACCGAACTGCAGAATGAGCGGTTGCTATGATGCTCACTGACCACCAGGGGGAAGACACTCAATGCAGGAGCTGCCCCCTGGTAGTCAGTGCGCTCCCACAGCGGGAGCGGGAGCGCTGCTCAACCAGAAGCCAGGCTCACGCTCGTGAGCGCAACAGTGGTGGTGAGAGCCTCTCCCGCCTCCATGGCAGCACTAAGGATGTCCGTCAGTCGGACATCCCCGAGGGCCTCCCACCCCACCCAGTGCACCAGGCCTCTAGTTGAATATGGTTCCCACATTTTACCAATGATAAAACTGAAGCTTGGAAAAGTAAAGGACACAATTCTAGAAATGGCAAAAGAGTATTTTGAAGACAGTTCTGGCTTCTAGTCTAGTGTGCATTCCACTTTTGTACTTGTGTAGTTACTTGCAAATCAAGGTCTTTTCTACTCTTCTTCTTTTTTTTTTTAATTGTTTGACTCTGCAAAAATCAGAAGGCACTAATGGACAGCCAACCCATCCCATGGTGTTCTGAGTAAAGACAGTCAGCTTAGATATATGATGGACTAAAGTCTATTCTTTAACTTGATAAACAGGTTCTTAATCCTGGGTTAATGGATGGGTTGGGGTGCTATCCATGAGTTCTCTGAAATTATGTGTAAATTTTGTGAAAAACAAATAATGTGCAAAACAATTTGCAGTTATGTTTTTTTCTAAGAAAAAGATCCATAGATTTCTGTTGATTTAAGAAATGTTCATCTCTGTGTTTGTGGTAGTGTCCTATCATTGTTAATGTGCTTAAGTTAGGTAAGTCATAGATTATTTTGCTTATCTGCTGCTGGACAGTGTGTGCTACTAGGCTGAATTCCATATCAGCCACAGCCTCAGAAATATAATTAGTAACTTATAAATTAAAAGATTTAGCAATGGAATCAGGAATCTTTAGAGGTGATCTTTAAATAGAGAATGGGAAGAGGAGGAAATCTGCCCACCATCATTTACTCATAGTTTCATCAGTTGTAAAACGAGGATAATAACCACATTGTTGTGATTACTAAGTGAAACTATGTTTTTAAAAAAGTACAATACAATTCCCTCTCTTCCCTCATCCCCCTCTTTCACTTCCCACTCCCTTTTAAGAAGACATCAATTTTCAGATTTTAAAAATTTTGTGAGAGGTATGCCTAAATGATCTTTGGGATTCAGAAAGAGAGTAAGATACATTTTGGGTTTTACTATCAAGATCAAAGAATGAAACTAGACCACTATTTTACACCATTCACAAAAATTAACTCAAAGTGGATTAAAGATTTGAATGTAAGACCTGAAACAATAAAATACATAGAAGAAAACATAGGCATTAAGCTTTTGGACATCAGTTTTTGTGAATTTGACTAGAAAGGCAAGGGAAGCAAAACAAAAAACTAAAAAGCCTCTGCACAGCAAAGGAACCATAAACAGAACAAAAAGGCAACCAACTGAATGGGAGAAGATATTATTTGCAAATGATATTTATGATAAGGGGTTAATATCCAAAATACATAAAGAACTCATACAACTCAACAACCGAAACAACTGATTTAAAAAATGGGTAGATGGCCCTAGCCATTTTGGCTCAGTGGATAAAGTGTCAGCCCATGGACTGAAGGGTCCTGGGTTCATTTCCGGTCAAGAGCACTTACCTTGGTTGCAGGTTCCCAGCCCTGGTCTGGGTGTGTGCAGGAGGCAACCAATCGATGTGTCTCTCTTACATCAATGTGTCTCTCTGTCTCTCCCTCTCCCTTCTACTCTCTCTGAAAATCAATGGAAAAATATCCTCATAAATAAATAAAAATAGGTAGATGAACTGAATAGACATTGTTCAAGGAAGCCATACAGAGGGCCAACAGACACATGAAAAGATGTTCAAAATCATTAATATTAGGGAAATGCAAATCAAAACCACAATGGGGTATCACATCATACCTGTTATAATACTACTCTTTTTTTATTTTTTATTTTGTTAATCCTCACCCAAGGATATTTTTCCATTGATTTTTAGAGAGAGTGGAAGGGAGGAGGAAGAGACAGAGAGAGAAACATTGATGGTTGCCTCCTGCACAGCCCTGGACCGGGGCCAGGGATTGAGTCTGCAACTGAAGTACGATGAGCTCAGGACCCTTCAGTCCGAGGGTCGACGGTCTATGTCAAATGATTTCACTGACTGCCATTAAAATGATGGTTATTAAGTGCCTTGTAATCTCAACAAGTAGAGAATTTCTCTTAACATCAGTGACTCTGTTCATGGTGCTGATTGTTTTCAGATTCTGCTGAACTAATAGCAATAACTTTTTAATTTTAGTTTGAGATTTTTATATATTCCCTATCTCTATTGTCTAGGAAATAGACACAGCAAATAGTTTTTTAGAAAGTCGTCTTTAGATCAGACCTAATCTTTCAGGCAGGTGAGAAGCAGCATTAGCAAAGCAGTTAAGAGTCTGTTGCCAGACCACTTGGATTCAAATCCTGGCTCGTCACTTAACTTTTAAGTCAGTGCTCCTCAGGTTTCTCATCTGTAAAATGCAGGTGGTGATGATACATATTTATTTAGGACAGTGCCTGTCAGAGTAAGTACTATATATGTTAGCTCCCTTTATATTTTAAGAAATGATTATATTCATCCCATAACAAATAGGTTGTGGGATTTAAACTAATGCCTCCTATTAAGCTGGAGGCAAAATTCAATAGGGATGATGAAAAGGAGGGTCCCTGCCCCAGATATTTCCTGGTATCAAACTGCCTTCACTGCCTTCCCATTGCTAGAATGATCTACAGAATCCACAGCTCCAAATTAATGTCTGAGATCCCCACCTGACATCCCTAGCTCTCTTAGAACCAAATTCTCAGGGAGTCTGCAGCTCCCACGAATAGTCTCAAAAGTTGGAGTTTTGCTGGTAGTGGGTGATCATAGCCCTAGGGACCCAAGCAGACAGACACAAGTCATTGGCCTCCCAGAGTGCCAGCACCATTCATCTAATTGGAGTCAGATCAGCTCTGGAAATATAAATTAATATGTGGGGATAGGGCATGGTGTTCAGAAGCCATAATATGCTGACTGGTGTTCACTTAGGGTGCCCCAGGGTGGATTGGGGTACAGGGATGCTGGGTATAAGTCACAGGCTGGGTTTAGTTGGGGTAATAGAGTTTATTGACGGTAGTGTCTGGGTGACAGGACTTTGGGGAGAGTTGACCAGAATGAGCAATGACTAATCAGGGTAGATACTATATTGCTAGAGCAGCATCTATGAAGCCCCCTTGAATTACTGGATTGTGGGTTATTCAAGAGACTTGGCAGGAAACCCAAAGCTAAAATTTTAGCCCTTGTTTCCACTGAGCTTTTAAGGTGATGTAATACTCTAAGCATATCTTATCTTCTGATGGGAATTGCATTTCCAAAAATAACTTTTTAAGTTGAGGGCCTGTCTATACTAGAATAGAAAGGACAAGTGCTTGGACAATTCTGTTTTTGCTGTAGAGAGGGGCGAAACTACCCTATTCTTTCTACATCATATTGTTACTTTAGGAGCCTTTGTTTCCTTGAGGAGTATCACTGCTGGGAGTCAAAAAACAGCGTTTAACAGATTACTCTAAGGCAACAATTTTCAACTGGTATGCCGCAAGAAATTTTAAAACATGCAATACCTGATTGTTTAGTCAAGGGCACTAACCTCTTTTCCCTTAGATTGTTAAATTTAAAAAATGACAACAGCCAACACAACAATAGCCGTCGGGTGTGAATGAATCAAAAATATACCTTTTTTTGTCAGATCAACAAATATATATATTTTTTGGTGTGCCACAGAATTTTAGTAATTATTTATGTGTTCAATGAGATGAAAAAGGTTGAAAATCACTGCTCTAAGGCATTTAAAGAAGACTTAAGCTGCATGGTGTTTCAGTTCATTTAGCAGAACACCTTGTGGTACATTCTGTCAAGCAAGTGAAATGATAAACATTAAGCTAAAAACTTAGAATCAAGCTTCCATTTATAGAAGGCGATTGTTTAGCTTGGGTAGAGTAAATGTGAATACGCCTCAAAGTTCATCTGAGACTTCAGTCTATTCTTCAACAAAAACAGTTGTCCTTTTTGTTCCTCATCTTTCCATCTGTATGATGGGTGAATCAACATTCTATCACATTAAGGTACAGTGGGAACAATGTACTAGTAAATACTATGAGAAGCCATGTAATACCGTTCAAGAAAGCACCTTCATATTTGTGTAAATTGAGCAGGTTTATTCCTTTGAGCATAATGATCTCATCTGCAAGTGCAGAGCCCTTCTTTCTAGCTACCCAACTTTTTCTTTGTCATGGTTTGGGAGGAATTAAATGAGAAAATATTGGACATAGGGACAGAAATCAACATAAATTTGATAGGACTTTCAAAACAGCAACAGTAATCATTTTTCTAGTCTACCATCTTATTTTCCAGATAAGAACAATTAAGGGACTTAACTAGGTCATAAGGCTATTTGACAAGTGTGAAGAATTATAGATATCCTCAATTTGAGGGGAATATTGTGGTTCTTTAGCACAATAATGAAAGCATGTTCTATTAAGTCTTTATATAATTCCTACATGAGTATCTAACATGATTCTCAAAGGGGAGAATCATTAGAAGGAAGAGCTTTTCTAAATTACATCCGTTTTCTTCTTCACAGAAGGGGATGCTGATAAAATAAAATTTAAAAAAGAGAGAGAGAGAAAGGGATGCTGGAATTATTGGAGTTGAACAGCAATGGATGTCATGGGTGTAACTTTTTTCTTTCAAAAACTTATAGCTGGGCCAGTGTGCTCAGTGGTTGAGCGTCGACCCAGGTTGTGGGCTCAATTCCCCATAGAGGGCGTGCAGGAGGCAGCCGATCGATGATGTTTATCTCTCATCAGTATTTCTATCTTCCTCTTTCTCAAAAAAAAAAAATCAATAAAAACAAAAAACTATTATAGGTACATGATAAAAAAAGTTTAAACTATGCAAAAGGTTTTATTGTATACAATGAAAAGTAAGTCTCCCATATGGATTCCAAAGTTAGAGGTAACTACTGTTAACAATTTCTTATGTGTTCTTTAGAAATGTTACATGTAAATATATAAGAATATATGTGTATGTTAATGGAAGCATATATGCCGTTCTACACTCTTTTTTGTTGTTTTTGGCTTTTTATTTAGTATCAACAGATACAGAGGTACAGTGTCTCTTTTTTAAAAGACTACATAGTATCTATAATAATAAAAACATAATATGCTAATTAGACCAGACAGCCGAACGAACTTCAGGACGTCCTTCCAGATGACCTTCTGGACAAAGCCAGGGCTCCAAGGGCCGCTCCTTGCATGAATTTCATGCATCGGGCTTCTAGTTCTGTATAAAAATGTACCCATACATTTTAAACCAGTTTCTTAAGGATAGATATTTGTTATTTTAAGTTTTCTGCTTTTAAAACAGTGTAACAGTAAATATCTTGGTATGTCTTCAGTACAGCCCAAGTATACCTATGGGATAAATTTCTAAACATGGAATTATTAAAGTGTGTGTGCAATTTAGATTTTACAAATTCAATTAGT